CAGGAGAGTCACTGGAGGCAGGATTGGAGCGCTGCTCACAGCAACCTCAACTCCGTGCTTAAAACGATCTACCCACCTTGGCTCAGGAGGCTAGAATAACAGCAAAAAAGACCCACTCTTACGTTATTTATTTTTGGAGACTGGAGGGGTCTCACTCTGTTGCCCGGCTAGAGGTGAGCGCCATGGGGTCAGCCCTCCGCTCACAGACAACCTCAACTCCTGGCCGTCGAGCGATCTGCCTCGCCTCGCGCCCTCCCGAGTAGCTGGGACTCCACAGGCCTGCGCCTCCGGACGCGCCGCTCATTATTTTTCGTAGTATATATCAGTTGCCAATTAATTTCTTCCTATTTTGTAGGAGACGGGTCTCGCTCTTGCTCAGCTGCTCCAACTCCCGACCCTGAGTGATCTCTCTCCGGCTCCGCAGAGGGCTGGATGACAGGCGGAGCTCCATTCTCTTTTTTTTTGAGAATTCTGACTCTGTGATGGGGCTCCATGGCTTCATTTGTTTTCTCCTGTTCCATTTTTCTTTCATTGTCAAGGTCTCGTCCAGAGGGCCAAAAGCGAGAACAAAGTGTGTGAAGCGAGAGTGCGACGATCGGGTCCGAGTCGGGGAGCCCGGATACGAGTCTTCAGCTATGGGGGGTGGACCCCACATGTGACCCCAGGAGCTTGTGAGAAACCCTCCCGGGTCTCTAAAATATCACGATGGCTGAAATTAAAAACAAACAAACAAAAAAAAATAGACTCTCTGGAGGCCGAGGCGGGAGAGGATCGCTCGATGGTCAGGAGTCGGAGGCAGGCTGAGCAAGAGCGAGACCCCGTCTCTACTAAGAAAAAAAAAGAAGAATACGAAAGAAGATAGTTCAACAACTAGAAGAAGATATAGAAAAGAAAATGAGGCCGCGTGGAGGCTCATTCCTGTCATCCCAGCACTCGGAGGCGAGGCGGAGGATCGCTCGGGCCAGAGGTTGAGCTGGTCTTGAGCAAGACGAGGACTCCGTCTCTTACTAAAAAATAAAAATTAATGCGAGAAAATAGATGTAGCCGGGTGGCGTGGTCACGCGAGGATCCCAGCACTCTGGGAGCGAGAAGGAGATCGCCCGGAGTCGGGATTTAGAGGCCAGCCTGAGCAGAGCGAGACCCCGTCTCTACTATAAATAGAAAGAAATTAATTGATACAGAATAACAGTGATATAGAGAAACGAGCCGCCTGGGCGCATGCTGTAGCCCAGCTATCGGAGGGAGCGAGGCAGAGCTCGCTGCGAGGCCAGGAGTCGAGGCGCTGTGAGGGGGGGGGGGGGGGGCGAGCTGACGCCACGCGGCTCACTCCAGCCCGGGCGAAGGCAGAGGGCAGACTCGTTCTGTTTTTTTTAGTAGAGACGGGGTCTCGCTCTGGCTCAGGCTGGCCTCCAACTCCTGACCTCCAGCGATCCTCCCGCCTCGGCCTCCCAGAGAGTCTATTTTTTCTTTTTTTCTTTTTCGTTTTTTCTCAGCCATGTGATTTAGGGTGTCCTCGGAGACGGGAGGGTTTTCTCACCAAGCTCTTGGGGTTCCCACATGTGGGGGTCCACCCCCCCATAGCTGAAGGACTCGTATCCGGGGCTCCCCGACTCGGCCCGATCGTCCGCCTCTCGCTTCAACAACTTGTTCTTCGCTTTTTTGGCCTTCTGGACGAGACCTTGACAAGAAAGAAAAAATGGAACAGAGAAAACAAATGAAGCCATGAAGCACCATCACAGAGTCACGGGAAATCTCAAAAAAAAAAGAGAATGGAGGCTCACGCCTGTCATCCCAGCACTCTGGGAGGCCGGGGAGGGAGGATCGCTCGAGGTCGGGAGTTGGAGGCCAGCCTCTGAGCAAGAGCGAGACCCCGTCTCTACTAAAAATAGGAAGAAATTAATTGGCCAACTAATATATATAGAAAAATAACGAGCCGGGCGTGGTGGCGCATGCCTGTAGTCCCAGCTACTCGGGAGGGAGGCCGAGGCGGGAGGATTGCTGGAGGCCACGAGTTGGAGGCTGCTGTGAGCGAGGCTGACGCCACGGCGCTCACTCCAGCCCGGGCGACAGAGCGAGACTCTGTCTCAAAAAATAAAATAAAATAAAGTGGGTCTTTTTGCCTGTCATCCTACCACTCTGGGAGGCCGAGGTTGGTAGATCGTTTAAGCACAGGAGTTCGAGGTTGCTGTGAGCAGCCTCCAACTCCCGGCCTCCAGCGATCCTCCTGCCTCGGCCTCCCTCCCGAGTAGCTGGGACTACAGGCACGCGCCACCACGCCCGGCTCATTCTTTCTCTATATATTTTTACTTCTCCACCTAATTTCTATTTATAGTAGAGACGAGGTCTCGCTCTTGCTCAGAGGCTGGCCTCCACCTCCTGACCTCGACTGATCGATCCTCCCTCCTCGGCCTCCCAGAGTGCTGGGACTACAGGCGTGACCCACCGCACCCCGCTTGTATATATTTTTACTTGTCCCCCTAATTTCTTTCTAATTTTAGCAGAGACGGCGTCTCGCTCTTGCTCAGAGGCTGGCCTCCACCTCCTGGCCTCAACTGAACGATCCTCCCTCCTCGGCCTCCCAGAGTAGCTAGGACTACAGGCATGCGCCACCACGCCCGGCTCATTCTTTCTCTATATATTTTTACTTCTCCACCTAATTTCTATTTTCAGTAGAGACGGGGTCTCGCTCTTGCTCAGAGGCCGGCCTCCACCTCCTGGCCTCGACCGATCGATCCTCCCTCCTCGGCCTCCTCCCAGAGTAGCTGGGACTTTAGGCGTGAGCCCCCGCGCCCGGGGCTGCGGCCTCTTACTCTTAATCTGGCCCCTGACATCCCGGTCTTCCCCGGAGTGCTCCTCCTCGTAGTGGCAGTGGAGCTGGTGGAAGGTCTGCAGGTCTTTGAGGCACAGGGGACAGAGGAACCCCTCCCTGACGTCCCCCGGGTCATCGAGGGACGCCATGGCGCCGGCCTCTCTCATCCTCGGGGTGGAGGCCTCATCCCCGGAGTCTCCTCGACTCCTCGAATCACGGCCGAGTGGCTCCGCCGGGAGTGGAGGCCCTGGGCGACATTCCGTCCTCCGGAGAAACCGGGACCCTGAGCAAGAGAAGAAGAAAGGGAGGGAGGGACGAGATGCAGGTTGAGGCCGGGCCCGGCGGAGGCTCGGCGCCCGTCGTCCCGGCTACTCGGGAGGGAGGCCGAGGAGGGAGGATCGTGTTCGAGGTCGGGAGTCGGAGGCCGGCCTCGTCAGCAAGAGCGAGACCCCCTGTCTCTACTAAAAAAAAAAAAAAAAAAGAAAGAAATGAGCTGGACGACTAAAAATATAGAGAAAAAAAATTTAGCCGGGCGTGGAGGCGCACGCCTGGAGTCCCAGCTACTCGGGAGGGAGGCCGAGGCGGGAGGATGGATTGAGGTCAGGAGTTGGAGGCCAGCCTGAGCAAGAGCGAGACCCCGTCTCTAATAAAAAAAAAAAAAAAAATAGAAAGAAATGAGCTAGACAACTAAAAATATACGTGAAAAAGTTAGTCAGCCTGTCATCCCAGCACTCTGGGAGGCCGAGGCGAGAGGATCGCTCGAGGTCAGGAGGTGGAGGCCAGCCTGAGCAAGAGCGAGGCCCCGTCTCTATTGAAAAAATTAGAAAGAAATGAGCTGGACAACTAAAAATATATAGAAACAAACATGAGCCGGGCGTGGTGGCTCACACCTGTAGTCCCAGCTACTCGGGAGGGAGGCTGAGGCAGGAGGATCGCTCGAGGTCAGGAGTTTGAGACCAGCCTGAGTAAGAGCCAGATCCTGTCTTAAGTAAAAATAGAAAAAAAACGAGTTGGACAACTAAAAACATATAGAAAAAATGAGCCGGGCGTGGTGGCGCATGCCTGTAGTCCCAGCTACTTGAAAGGAGGCTGAGGCAGGAGGCTCGCTTGAGCCTCGAAGCTGGAGGCTGCTGTGAGCGAGGCTGACGCCCCGGCACTCAGTCTAGCCCGGGCCCCAAAAGTGAGACTCTGTCTCAAAAAAAAAAAAAAAAAGATAAACAGAGAACATCAGGGCGATTTTCTTACACTCATTCCAACCCGTCCAACTTCATAATCTCTTTCGCCGGTGACAAAATTCTTGACGTCCTTGTCACCAAGGAGAGATTTTTTTTTTTTTTTTTTTTTACTTGACACTCTTTTTCTCGATCATTTTCTTTAAGCACATCTCTCGAGCTCTTGATATCTGGAAGGCGCCTGTGTTAAAAATGAAAAGGTGCAGAAACAAAACCTAAACGTCACACGTCTTGCGGTCGCAAAAAACGACAACAACAAAAACACAAAAACTAAAACAACCAAAGAAACGAACAAACATCCTAATCTCGGCCTAATGAGGAACATTAGAAACCTAATATTGAAAAATAAAGTAAAAGAAAATAAATGACTCTCTGATTTGTTGGGAACAAAAAGAAGGAAAAAAAAAAGAAAGAATAAGAAAATAATTTGAAAATTAAAAAAAGAAAATTAAAAGAAAAAAAAAAAAACTCTTTCAAATTTTGTAATTGTAGAGAACTTTCTTTCCAATGAGCCTACTAGAGTTTATAAGCCAGTAGCAGTGAGGTTAATATTCTCAAGATTTGAAAAACAAAAAAAGGATTTAGTGCTTGGGCAGGCGCGGAGGCTCACGCCTGCCATCCCAGCACTCTGGGAGGCCCAGGCGGGAGGATCGCTCGAGGTCAGGAGTTCGAAACCAGCAAGAGCGAGACCCCGTCTCTACCATAAATAGAAAGAAATTAATCGGCCAACTAATATATATGGGAAAAAAAAAAAAATTTAACCGGGCGTGGTGGTATGTGCTTGTAGTCCCAGCTACTCGGGAGGGAGGCTGAGGCAGGAGGATCGCTTGAGCCTCGAAGTTGAAGGTTGCTGTGAGCTAGGCTGACCCGGGTTGCAGAGCGAGATCCTGTCTTCCTATCTCTTAAAAAAGAAAAAAAAGAAAAACGGGGGGGGGGGGGGGCAGGGGGACAAGGTCACTATACGTAACGTTAACATTTGTACCCCCATAATATGCTGAAATTAAAAACAAAAAACAACAAAAAAAACGCTACCGCAAACCCCCAACGGGACCCCACAACCACAACCGAACACACATACAAACACACAAGTCCCCCGAATTAGAAACCGGGTAAGAAAATAACATAAAAATAAAATCTACACGTCCTGCAACTCGGTATCCAACTCGAATCCTCCCTGGCCACCTACCGTGTTTTCTCGAAAATCAGACAGGGTCCTCTATTTATTTTTCCCCCAAGAAGACACCCCAGGGCTGGTTTTCAGGGGACGGCCGTTATTTTTTTGTAAGTACGGCCCAACCATCTACGTTGATTCAAATACGGTGAAGTTGTGGGTTAATAGGTAGGTCTTATGTTCGGGGGGGAAACACGGTACTGCATAGACGACGACACGTCCCACTCAACCAGGGTCGCGCTCCCCACCACGCAGGGCCACCACCCACCCGACTCAACGTGACTCTGCACACACCTCCTCACACCCCGCCGCCTACTTGAGATGACAGGTGACAAATGTCACTCACCGCGTAGACACGGCGCAAAACGCTTACGAACAGGCTCCGCGCAAATTCGCAACGCAAACGCTTCAAATCCAAACGCCCCGAAGAATCAAACGTGCCACCACTGGGGAGACCCCACCCAGTGTCCTCTCGCCTGCTTGACTGTCCCTACCCCGGGGACCCCGCACCCTTGCACACTTGAGAGGAGAGGTGACAAATGTCACGCACCCCGTAGATACTGACAGGCTGCGCGCAAAGTCGCAACGCAAACGCTTCAAATTCCAACACCCGGACGGAAGATCCAAACGCGTGACTGCTGGGGAGACCCCACCCAGTGTCCCCTCAGCTGCTTGACTGTCCCCACCCCGGGGACCCCTCACCACCGCGATCTTGACAGGAGAGGTGACAAACGTCACCCACCGCGAAGACGCGGCGCAAGACGCTTACCAACAGGCTCCACGCAAATTCGCAACGCAAACGCTTTAGATCAAAACGCGACAACTTGGGAGACCCTCACCCAGTGTCCCCTCAGCTGCTTGACTGTCCCCACCCCGGGGACCCCCCACCATCGACTCTTGAGTGGAGAGGTGACAAACGTCATGCACCGCGTAGACGCGGCGCAAAACGCTGACGAATAGGCTCCGCGCAAATTCACAACGCAAAACGCTTCAAATCCAAACGTCCAGAAAATCCAAACGCTCCACCACTGGGGAGACACCTTACACGCCCAGCGTCCCCTCGGCTGCCTGACTGTCCCTGGCCAGAGTCATCCACACCACCTCACTCCTGAGAGGTGACAAACGTCACGCACCGCGTAGACGCGGCGCAAAACGCTGACGAACAGGCTCCGCGCAAATTCTCCACGCAAATGCTTCAAATCCAAATGCCCGGAAGAATCAAACGAGCCACCCCTTGGCTACTTTTACTGTCCCCGCGCTGGGGACCCCGCATCACCGCACTCTTGAGAGAAGAGGTGACAAACGTCACGCACCGCGTAGACACGGACAGGCTGAGCGCAAAGTCGCAACGCAAATGCTTCAAATTCCAACGCCCGGACGGAAGATCCAAACGCGCGACCGCTGGGGAGGCCCCACCCAGTGTCCCCTCGGCTGCCTGACTGTCCCCGTCCGGAGTCGTCCACACCACCCGCCCACCAGTCGTCCACCACCTCTTGAGAGGTGACAAACGTCACGCACCGCGTAGACGCGACACAAAACGCTGACGAACCGGTTCCGCGAAAATTCGCCACGCAAACGCTTCAAATCCAAACGCCCGGAAGATCCAAACGCGCGACCGCTGGGGAGACCCCCCCACCCAGTTTCCCCTCGGCTGCCTGACCGACCCCGTCCGGAGTCGTTCACACCACCGCACCCTTGAGAGGAGAGGTGACAAACCTCACGAACGGCGTAGACGCGGCGCACAACTCTGACCAACAGGCTCCGCGCAAATTCCCAACGCAAACGCTTCAAATCCAAACGCCCAGAAGAATCAAACGCGCCGGGGACCCCGCACCACCGCACTCTCGGGAGGTGACAAACGTCACGCACCGCGTAGACGCGGCGCTACACCAAGTTGCCAACAGGCCCCGCGCAAATTCCCAACGCAAACGCTTCAAATCCAAACGCCCGGAAGATTCAAACGCGCCGGGGAACCCGCACCACCGCACTCTCGGAAGGTGACAAACGTCACGCACCGCGTAGACGCGGCGCTACACCAAGTTGCCAACAGGCCCCGCGCAAATTCCCAACGCAAACGCTTCAAATCCAAACGCCCGGAAGATTCAAACGCGCCGGGGACCCCGCACCACCGCACCCTCGAGAGGCGACAAAAGTCACGCACCGCGTAGACGCGGCGAAACAGGCCCCGCGCAAATTCCCAACGCAAACGCGTCAGATTCCAACGCCCGGACGCAAGATCCAAACGCGCGACCGCAGGGGGAGACCCCGCCCACCCGCTGTCAAACCCCGACCGTCCCCGTCGGGAATTGTCTACACGACCCCGAACGGCCGCGTCCTCACGGCTCCCAAACCCTCCGGATGCCGCCCCGCCCGTCACACCCACCTCCGCGGCCCGGCCCCGTCCTCACCCCCCCACCCCAGGGACGGCCGCAACCCCTGACCTCTGACCCCGAGCGGGACCCCCTCCGTAACCCGCGGACGGGCCCCCTCGGGCGCACAAACTCCCGTCCCGTCCTCCGTCCGCGGCCTCCGGGGCCTCGCCCGCCGCTCACTCGGCCGCGGCCGCCATTCCTCGCTGAGCTGCTCGGCGCTCGGCTAGCGCGCCTGCCGGGGACGCCGGAAGCGGAAGTCAGGCTGCCGCAGACGCGGCGAGCGCCGAGTCTTCCACGGCGCGGCCTCCTGCGCATGCGCCGCCGGAAGCCGGCGCGCAGAGGGGCGGGGCTTAGAGAGAGAGAGACGGCGCGGCGCTCTGACGTCACAGGGGCGCGACGACCCGGAAGTGGGGTGGAAACAATGGCAATATGGAGGGGACTCTTGGGGGAGGATGGAGGAGGCCGGGGCGGCGGGATTTGAACCCGGGGAAAGGGAGGCCGGGGAGGGAGGCCGGGGTCAGACGGGGGCTAAGAGTGCGCGGCACGTAGGAGCGGCTCGAGGAGTCGCAGTGGAGGCCGGGCGCGGAGGCCCACGCCTGTCGTCGCAGAACTATTGGAGGAGGCCGAGGAGGGAGGCTCGCTGGAGGCCGAGAGGTCGAGGCTAGCCTCTGAGCAAGAGCGAGACCCCGTCTCTACTAAAAAAATAGAAAGAAATGAGCTGGAAAACTAAAAATATATTGAAAAAAAAAACGAGCCGGGCGTGGAGGCGCATGCCTGGAGTCCCAGCTACTCGGTGGAGGCCGAGGAGGGAGGATCGCTGGAGGTCGAGGCCAGCCTGAGCAAGAGCGAGACCCCGTCTCTACTAAAAAAATAGAAAGAAATTAGCTGGGACAACTAAGAATAGATATAGAAAAAATGAGGCCGAGCGAGGAGGCTCACGCCTGTCATCCCAGCACTCTGGGAGGCCGAGGAGGGAGGATCGCTCAAGGCCGGGAGTTGGAGGCCAGCCTGAGCAAGAGCCAGACCCCGTCTCTACTGAAAAAAAAAATAAGAAAGAAATTAAATGGACAATTAAAAATATAAATATATAAGAATTTAACTCTGGGAGGCCAAGGCGGGAGGATTGCTGGAGGTCAGGAGGTCGAGGCCAGCCTGAGCAAGAGCGAGACCCCGTCTCTACTAAAAAAAATAAATAAAAAGAAAGAAATTAATTTAAAAATCTAGAATAAACTTCGCCGGGGATGGAGGCTCACACCTGTCCTCCCAGCTACTCGGTGGAGGCCGAGGCAGGAGGATCGCTCGAGGTCAGGAGTTCAAAACTGGCCTGAGCAAGAGCGAGACCCCGTCTCTACTAAAAAACAATCTTAAGAAATTACTTACACACCTAAAATATATATATATATACAAAAAAATCTGCCGGGCTGTGTGTCATCCCAGCTACTCGGGAGGGAGGCTGAGAAAGGAGGATGGCTGGAGGTCAGGAGTTGGAGGCCAGCCTGAGCAAGAGCGAGACCCCGTCTCTACTAAAAAAAACCAAAAATTGAAATTATTTGGACAGCTAAAAATATATATATATATTGAAAAATGAGCCGGGCGTGGTGGCGCATGCCTGGAGTCCCAGCTACTCGGGAGGGAGGCCGAGGCAGGAGGATCGGCTCGAGGTCAGCAGTTGGAGGCCAGCCTGAGCAAGAGCGAGACCCCGTCTCTACTAAAAAAAAAAAATAGAAAGAAATTAATCAGCCAACTAAAAATACATAGAAAGCATGCCTGTAGTCCCAGCTGCTCGGGAGGGAGACCGAGGCAGGAGGATCGTTCAAACCTCAAATTTGGAGGCCGCTGTGAGCGAGGCTGAGGCCACGGCACTCACTCCAGCCCGGGCGACAGAGCGAGACTCTGCCTCAAAAATTAAAATAATAATCATAATAATGTCACCAAGCGCTTTAAGCCTCCTAATGCCAGCCTCTACCCCACCCGGGTGCCGTGTCTTATTTTTATCTGGGCCCCAGGGGGGAAATTGAGGCCCAGAATCTAGGACAATCACCAGCCTCCCCAAGCCGGACCCAGTGGCCTCTCCTGTCCCCCCTCAGCCTCGACCTTATTTAAAATAGATTCCCCTCGTGAACAATCACCAGGAAGCTTTGGAGATTGGAGGCCGGCCTCCTTACATAAGCCTCCCGGCCTCCCCGAGCACTTGGCCTCGACCCCGAGTGCCGTGGCCAATAATCCAGTGGTCACAAGAGGGCGCCGGGACTCCGTGCGACAGGCAGGCCGGGCTCCCGTCCTCCGCGTTTTCTGGGCAAGCAGCTTCTCTTCCCAGCCTCCACCTTTTTTTTGAGCCCCGTCTGCCCGGACCATCTCGCCCCGTCTGCAAACGGCCTCGTAGTCCTCAGGGCAAAACTCGCTTTTATTTCCCTTTTTTTTATGCGACAGAGACTCGCTCTGTCGCCCGGCTAGAGTGTGGCGGCCTCGGCCTCTCTGCAGCTCCTCTGCTCAAGCGAGCCTCCCGCCTCGGCCTCCCTCCCGGGTAGCTGGGACTACAGGCATGCGCCTCCACGCCCGGCTCGTTTTTTCTATATATATTAATTGTCCAATTAATTTATTTCTATTATTTTAGTAGAGACGGGGTCTCGCTCTTGCTCAGGCTGGCCTCCAACTCCTGGCCTCGAACGAGCCTCCCGCCTCGGCCTCCCAGAGTGCTGGGATGACAGGCATGCGCCAGCGAGCCTGGCTAATTTTTTCTATATATTTCTAGTTATTCAGCTAATTTCTTTCTATTTTTTAGTAGAGATGAGGTCTCCCTCTTGCTCAGGCTGGTCTTGACCTCCCGACCTCGAGCGATCCTCCCGCCTCGGCCTCCCTCCCGAGTAGCTGGGACTATAGGCATGCGCCTCAACGCCCGGCTCATTTTTTCTATGTATTTCTAGTTATTCAGCTAATTTCTTTCTATTTTTAGTAGAGACGGGGTCTCACTCTTGCTCAGGCTGGCCTCGGCCCCCTGACCTCCGGCGAACCTCCCGCCTCGGCCTCCCTCCCGAGTAGCTGGGACCACAGGCATGCGCCACCACGCCCGGCTCATTTTTTCTATATATTTGTAGTTGTCCAGTTAATTTCTTTCTATTTTTTTTAGTATAGACGGGGTCTCGCTCTTGCTCAGGCTGGCCTCCAACTCCTGGCCTCGAGCTAGCCTCCCGCCTCCGCCTCCCAGACTGCTGGGATGACAGGCGTGAGCCTCCACGCCTGGCTAACTTTTTCTATTTATTTATTTATTACTTGTTCACCTCATTTCTTTCTATTTTTTTTTAGTAGAGACGGGGTCTCGCTCTTGCTCAGCCGGCCTCCAACTCCCGACCTCCAGCGATCCTCCCTCCTCGGCCTCCCTCCCAAGTAGCTGGGACTACAGGCATGCGCCTCCACGCCCGGCTCGTTTTTTCTATATATATTATTAGTTGGCCAATTAATTTCTTTCTATTTTTAGTAGAGACGGGGTCTCGCTCTCGCTCAGGCCGGCCTCGGCCCCCTGACCTCCGGCGAGCCTCCCGCCTCGGCCTCCCTCCCGGAGCGCTGCGGTCACAGGCTCGAGCCTCGGCGCCCCGGGCCGACACGCAGAGTGGCGCGGCCTCGTCCCGTCCTTCCTCTGGAGTCACCGGGAGACTCCTCGGGCCTCAGCGACGGGGGTGTCGCCCGTGAGGGGGAAGGAGAGGAAGGGAGGCAAGGAGGCCGGGGCGAGACGCTGGTGACGGCCTCCCTAAAGAGGCCGGTGGCCCGGTTTCCGCCTGTGACCGTCACCGGGCACGACACAAGGGGCCGCCCAGCCTCGACTAAGTCGGGGACCTCGTGACGGGGAGGCTGTTTTGGACGATCCCGGAGGCCCCTGAAGGCAATAACGAGGCTGTCATAAAAGGGAGGCCGCAGGTCGCCCCAAGAGCTTCCAGAACAATCCGCCGAGGGAACGTCAGGGCCTCGGAACTGACTTCCAACGTCCGGTGTCCAGAACCGTGAAGCAGTCGGAAAGTGGAGGCCGGGCGCGGAGGCCCACGCCTGTCTCCTATATATGTGTGTGTATATATATATATAAACAGATACATAAATGCATATTTATCTTAATGGTTATATTTTAACATTTTATTTTTATATTTAAGCACATTTCAATATAAATATATCTAATATTTGATTGCATTCTTAGAATTCATATCTACTAAAATAGAAATGTAAACAAGCATAAACATGCGTCAAATCTAAATAAAAACGTATATAAAGATATAAGAAAATAAAATAAATACGAATAAAATGAAAAACGAAGAAAAATAAAATAGGAAGCGAAGAAAAATAAATGGATAA